TGTGGAATTTGACATTTATTTTCTCGGTCTTATTAGATATCTTCGCTTCTTCGCGGCTTTCGTATGTGTTCATCAGGAGAATTATAATATAATTTCAGTGATGTTCAGTCTCTTGGGGAGCAAAAAGGTATATATTACAAACTCTATATATGAACATAGTGGCTTCTGGCTATGGCCTGAGGGAAAATAAAAGGCAAAGATTCCTTATTTTTCTGGTACCTGATGACCTCAAGACCCGGGAGTTTCACTTTTAATTAAAATGCTTAACTTTTCATGACAACTTTTTTCACCTGTTCGACAACAAGATAATAGTGACAAACTAAACATTAATCTCAGTTGCGGAGTGTATATAAATATATATAAATAAAAGCAAAGTTGTAGTAATTTACAAATTTGAGCCAGAAGCTTGGAAAAGTTGAAAAGCTAATCGAAAGGATTGTGTGCCAGTGCTGATCATTTGACAGGTGCCGCTCTTTAGACAAACCTTCATTTTATTATCTTTATTTTTTTTAATCAACTGACTGTTAAATGACTGTTCTTTCATGAAACATGAACGTTTTTGTTCTTGTGGTTGAGTTAAATAAAAATCTGGTTCATTCCCTTTTCAAATCATAATCTCGTAATATTTCTTCTTTTTCTTACTTAATATTGTATTATTCAATACACGCTTATTTAACCTTATTTAAGGTTAAGACGCACTGTAATCTCTATTACAGGGTTAAGGAAAAAAAGAAAGTTTTCATGAAATTACAAATTTTGCAAGAAATTTGGACTGGCTATTGGAGTCGACGGTGCCGGTGCCATGTGCTCCGTGCAAATTATTTTCACGTACTGACTCCGAATATTGGATGACTAGTGCCTGTAGCTCGATCTTTTTACTAAGTTTTACTTTATACTGTTTTCAAATCTAAGGGCCATTTATTTCAACAGAGTTTAGCCTGTGTTTAACAAAAACGTGTTCTAATCCATTTCCAGTTTGTCCAGTGCTTTTATCCAAACCCAATTTATCGTGAACAATTTCAATAAAGCCTATAGCATAGACTGGAAAAGCATTTGTTTTCTTAAGGTATTCACCCTTAAGCATCCTCCTCGCGTTGATCGGCGCTAGCGCTTTTGCTTTTAATAAATAGCCCCATAAACCGTACATTTTCTGAAAGCTTAATAGTTCCAGATTATTGCTTATTCCTTTTAAAAAATCAAAATATTAACGCAATTCAGAAATGAGAAGCTTTTTAACACTCAATTGACTGGCTTCCTTTTGCCACTACATAATGTTTGAAGTAAAATATAAGTTTACAAGCTCTTTTTTTCTTCTTTGGAGGCATTCACTGCCGAAATCCAGGGATAAACTGTGAGCACTATACTTTTAGACCACGATTTCTGTCAAATAACGAGATTAGCCTAGCCTCCCACGCAGGCGTTTTTAGGGGAGCTTGGAGGGATGACAGACAAGCTCCCCTACAAACGCCTGTGTGGCATGCGTATCATGACTTGTATCGTCAAGTATGACAAGACTTGTCAACGATCAATTAAAATTATTAGCATAGAAAAAACTGTTGCGCTCCATAAGTCTGCACCGCAAAAAAAAAAATTTTTCTGGAATTTTTTTTTTAAAAGATCTTGATGAGCTCTATTTAATCATCTAAAAATTGCAAATTTTGAAAAATGATGATTTTTTAACCTGGATGATACCTTAAATTAACCCAGTAAGAAGGAGATCTGGAGGTCCAATGATTTCTTAAACCGCGGACTAAGTTAGACTTCGTTTAAATAACCGACCCTTAAGTGTATTACTGAGGTGAATGTTTTGTAGCAGTAGTAAATAAATATTGTTAGTGTTTTTAGTGTAAGAGGGCATCAAATTATTACTACCAAATAGTTAATGACAAGAGGTAAAAATAAAAAAGACGAAATTGACATGCGGAGTAGTCCATTATCTATCGAGTTTGCAGATGGGGTTCCTCACACTTACCAGAAGTCGACCTTACGAGTTTCACTTTCAGAGCAGAGAGCGAGGGACGAAGAGGCCGACCTTACAGCGGTTACTAATAACACGAGCCCTCGAAGGTTTTTTTTTCTCTCTGTTGAAACCTGAGGTTTGAAACATGTGCTTTTCCAGTCTGTTGCTATGCTTTATTGAAATTGCTCACGATAAATGGTGTTTAGATAAAAGCGTTGGACAAACTGAAAATGGAATGGAACACGCTTTTGTTAAACACAGGATAAAATCTGTTTAAATAAGTGGCCCTTAGCTTTGGAAACAATATAAAGTGAAACTTAGTAGAAAGAGCTAGAAGCAACAGTCATCCAATATTCGGAGTTAGTACGTGAAAATGATTTGCAGTGAGCACATGGCACCGGCACGGTCGACTCGAGTAGCTAATCCAAATTTCTTGCAAAATTTGTAATTTCATGAAACTTTCTTTTTTTCCTTAACCCTGTAATAGAGATTACAGCTAGTCTTATAACCTTAAATATGGTTAAATTTGCGTGTATTAGCTTTGGAAACAATATAAAGTGAAACTTAGTAGAAAGAGCTACAGGCACTAGTCATTTAATATTCGGAGTCAGTACGTGAAAATGGTTTGCTCTGGGCACATGGCACCGGCACCGTCGACTCGAGTAGCTAATCCAAAGTTCTCGCAAAATTTGTAATTTCATGAAACTTTTTTTTTTCCTTAACCCTGTAATAGAGATTACAGCTAGTTTTAACCTTAAATATGGTTAAATTAGCGTGCATTGAATAATACAATCAGTAAGAAAAAGAAAAAAATTGACGAGATTATGATTTGAAAGGGAATGAACCAGATTAGCTCAACCACAAGAACAAAAACGTTCAAGTTTCATGAAGAACAGTCATTTAACAGTCAGTTAATTTAAATAAAAGTTTGTTGACGTGTAAAGAGAAGCAGCTGTCAAATGATCAGCACTGGCACACAATCCTTTCGATGAGCTTTTCAACTTTTTCAAGCTTCTTGCCTAAATTTGTAAATTACTACTAACAACTTTACATTTATTTATATCAACAAACCGCGACAGAGATTATTGTTTAGTTTGTCACTATTATGTTGTTGTCGAATAGATGAAAAAAGTTAAAAAGTTTAAACAATTTAATTAAAATTGAAACTCCGGGGCCTTGAGTTCATTAGGTACCAGAAAAACTAAGATAAAGAATTTTTGAATGAATGTCAAATTTCACAAAATGGCATCTTACACAATTATGAAATTTTCAGAATTTTACCTGTGTTTTCACAATTCTTGTGAAATTTGACAAAATAGTCTTTGGTGTTATTACAGATAACTAATTATAATATCTATAGCCCTTGAGAAATGTAAAAGAATGGGATATTGTTTATTAAATTATTCTAGTACAAGGTTTTTGCCCACTGCTTCTTGCCTAAATTTGTAAATTACTACTAACAACTTTACATTTATTTATATTAACACACGGCAACAGAGATTATTGTGTAGTTTGTCATTATTATGTTGTTGTCGAATAGCTGAAAAAAGTTAAAAAGTTAAACATTTAATTAAAATTGAAACTCCGGGGCCTTGAGTTCATTAGGTACCAGAAAAACTAAGATAAAGAATTTTTGAATGAATGTCAAATTTCACAAAATGGCATCTTACACAATTATGAAATTTTCAGAATTTTACCTGTGTTTTCACAATTCTTGTGAAATTTGACAAAATAGTCTTTGGTGTTATTACAGATAACTAATTATAATATCTATAGCCCTTGAGAAATGTAAAAGAATGGGATATTGTTTATTAAATTATTCTGGTACAAGGTTTTTGTCCACTGCTTCTTGCCCAAATTTGTAAATTACTACTAACAACTTTACATTTATTTATATTAACACACGGCAACAGAGATTATTGTTTAGTTTGTCATTATTATGTTGTTGTCGAATAGGTGAAAAAAGTTAGAAAGTTAAACGTTTTAATTAAAATTGAAACTCCAGGACCTTGAGGTCATTAGGTACCAGAAAAACTAAGATAAAGAATTTTTGAATGAATGTCAAATTTCACAAAATGACATCTCACACAATTATGAAATTTTCAGAATTTTACCTGTGTTTTCACAATTCTTGTGAAATTTGACAAAAAAGTCTTCGGTGTTATTACAGATAACTAATTATAATATCTATAGCCCTTGAGAAATGTAAAAAAGAATGGGATATTGCTTATTAAATTATTCTGGTACAAGGTTTTTGTCCACTGAAAATTGAAATTGCTCAATTTCCTGGTGGGTTCCGTCTTAAGCAAAGTTACATGACTTGCAGTGATTGTACCTTTTCAGTTAATGCTTATTTCTATTTTTCAGTCTGTTCGCTTTTTTCGTTTGTTTGTTTTTGTTTATCCTGAACATTTTAATTTCAGATTAGCCTGTGTACAGACGCCTCCTCCCCTAAAAAACCAACGGGTGGGTAGCTAACTAACGTATACGCAACCCTGAATGCCTATGTCATAAAAAAATCGTGAGAAAATATGATAAAGACACGACAACAGGGGATTGGAAAGTGCCAGCGTATCAGCTCAACCACTGTATCTAGAATGACTTTTACAAAAGTTCCCTTAAAAAAACCTTATATAACAAAATGTCACTCATTCTTAAAAGAACAATTATCTTAGAAAAACATCGAGTTCTGAAGACATAATAGGGCACCAGTCACAGTATTTACCACGGACTGAACTTGGATTAAAAGGTCATATCGGACACCGACACGCAGTCCACTCGATAAGGTTTTTAGCTACTCCAAACTTCTTGCGAATTTTGTATCATATCCTTCAATTTTTCTATTTTTTACACAGTGGGTCTTGCAATAGAGGTTATTGTTTAGTTTGTCACTGTTGGCCTGTTGTGCATTTCGTGAAAAATAGTTATACATGCACAGTTAATTGTTCAATTGCGATCATGAATTAAGGTCATTGAGGTTAGGAAACCCCGACATAAAAAGGGCTATGTCGTCAATTTTCAGCTTCATTCCATCCCGGACCATCAAGAGGTAAAGAAAAGAAATCGTCTGAACATTGGTAAGCTTTCTTCCCTTTCTTCACGTAAATATAATTTTTATTTGAGCACTTTTATGTTATTATTATTATTGTTATTGTTATTATTATTATTATTTTTATTATTATTATTACTGTTTATTTTCACGAAATGAAACTTTTACGGTTGTAAGAAAAAATTGGCAATGATGATGCCCAAAGCAACCATGAGGCTAAAACATCATAAGCTTTCTTGACTAACGTCGTGGAGACTAGGTTCCTTCAGAAGCAAAGCAAAGACATAATTTCGTTTGTTATAAAAAAGTAGATCTTATTCTGACTCACCTGAAGAGAATGTTTGCTTCAACTGACGTGGCCGCATTGTGGTTCAAAATTAGATAATATAAGGCCACTATTAGACCATGAAAAATGAGTTTATTATTAAAAGAAATTTTCGCTATCTCAAGGTACGCATATACTAGGCAGAATTTAAGAGCTGAAGGTTTTGTCAGTTCGTCCCTCCTCTGTTCACTCGCAAAACAGTTTGAAACCATTTTAAAGTCTCAACATAACCAATTTATCACACGCCACGCACGATTTAACTGAAAATAACACGGATTAATAGACACCTTGCAGTTTTATTTTTATAAGTCGACCCTCCCATAAGCAACCAACAAAAAGGCGCAGCTTTAGTGCTCGGCATTTTTATTTGGGAGGTGGTCTATAATGATACGTACTAAAGCCGGACAACAGGGGAACTCTTCCAGGTATAAGTCCCGATAAATCTACTTTTTGTAAAAGAATTTATTGAGATGCAACTTCTAAATAACGATATGTGAAGTTCCGCTTGTCCCTCAAATTTCTTGGCTTATTCTTCACGTAGCGTTTGTACAATTACAGCGAGCATTTAGCGAGAGCAGACCATGGAACGCCAGCTTACACGAGGTAGAAGACAATGGTGGGAGAAGGTCGCTTAGTATGAGAGGTGGTCACACATGAAGGTCCACTGTAGTCAGTACTAAATCCGATTTTGAGACGACATTTAGGGTGGCGGAGTCAAAGCAATTAATCACAAAGTATTGTACATGGGAATTTGTGGACGCAATCAGCTTCTATATTACGTAAAAGCAATTTTAGGCTTTAAAATGTTTATTTAAACAATAACAGTTTGAAGCAGAATTTTTTACGAAGATTTTTTTTTTAAATTCCTTGATCGGCGCGTAGAAGAAAAAAAGTTCGAAGTAAACAAATTCAAGTACTGCGCTACCGGGGCTGCAGGTGAAGCATTCACGGCCAACATATTTGGAATCGGAACCCAAAGAGGTGGCGAGAACTACCAGAAAGTTTCACTATTAAAAAAATAATAAAAGAACAGTCATCTTTAAGTAAAACACACGGTTCTGAAAGCAGTGTTAGGAAAAGATAAGATCAAGAGAGAGATGTACTACTAAGACAGGGGCCCAAAACCTGGAGCTAGCAACGTCCATCTACTTGTTTCGCAACCAGTTAGAACGATTTTGGCGCAATTTTAGAGCTTCTTTTAAGACCCACAAACCAGAGAGCAAAACCAAAGCCCTAAAAATATGTAATTGACACCTTTTAATGACCTTCAGTTTTCTTTTTTGAAAATCTTGTACTTCAAATGCGCTCATAGACGGTGCGGGACTCCCATTTTTACGGGAAAAAGTTTGCTAAAATGTAGTTGATAATAAACTGGTCTCAAAAACGCCGTGATACAGGCCTAGCTAGTATTAGTCTGCTACACAGCCGTTTTTAGTGTTTGGTCATATACGTAACGCAAACGGCTGCGTATCAGACTGTGCCTAGTTTGGGTGTTCCTCTCTCAGCTCCGGGTTATGGGCTCCTGCTAAAAGTTTTTGCATCAACAAATGGTACCGGAACACCATCGGGCTCGATTTATTTAGCTTTTCAACAGATGGTGTATTCAAATTTCTTTCCAAAATACAACGTGACTAATAAAGAGCTTGTCAAGCAGATAAACAGCCAATATCGGTTTTATTCAAGAGAGTCACTACTTAGCATTGATGATTGAAAAAAAGAGTTTATGTCAAAGACCTATTCACGCACGACTCGCTCCACGCTCAGAATTAAAAACTTTGGATGGAGGGAACCACTAAACACAGAATCAGCATCAGTCGGTAGTTAATTCATGTTCTTTATGTTACGTATCGGATCAGTTTATTGTTAAGAGTACCAAGCGTCACTGTATCTTGCACCGCGTATTTTAAAAGAGAGAACCCAATGAGAAGGATGCGGCGTTGAAGATTACCTGAAAAACACCGTACAAAGAATTATGCTTCTAGCAAAAAAGGATGAATTGGAACTTTTACAAAATTAAACGGTTAACTCGAACCTCGAGCTAACTCGAACCAAAGTCGATTCCTCCTGGATTTCCTTTACACGTTTACTATGTAATTGTACCCTCGGTAACTCGAACCCTCGATAACTGCAACCTCTCGCTAACTCGGAGTAATTTTTGTTTCCCTTCAGATCATTTCTATATAATCTTACCCTCTATAATTCGAACCATGTTTTAAGCGCATGACAAGTCGGGGGAAAATAGTGTCACAGTGAAGTCAAAAACAGTGAATTTGTTTGAAAAATAACCGTGTCAATTCTTTGTTTCTACTTTTTACTCCGGCTCCAGTTCAAGTCAATTCAGTGTCTATCACTGTATATTAATCAAGCTTTGTCAGCTGCTTTTTTGCTTGTTGATTTCCTTTTTCAAAATATTTATCTCTTGCTGCCCTTGAAGTGAAGTGTGCAAGTTACTTGCATTCCCTAGTATCGAATTAGTTGTTCGTAGTAAATGCTAGAAACAGGCTTGCAATTTCGAGCGATTCAGAGTCAGAACTGTCTATTACTCAAAGAAGTTTCAGAGGCGGTACTGCAATTGAGCTTTCAGAAAACAATTTTGAATCCTTATTTGCGTGTGCAGACAACGAGCAAGCAGTTGACAACTTAAAGTTTCGCAGCGAGGATCTTTTAACCGACCGACCTCACTACTACAACTGACAAGGAAATTCAGGAGAGAAATAAAGCAAGAGATGCTACAAAACACAAAGGGGTCAACTACATGGAGTTCACGAGATTGGGATGACTAGGTTAAAAGCAGAACGCCTTACCAACAAATGACAGCGCCACTTTCATGGTATGCTCCGAACAGTCCAATATTAGAGACGCTGTTGAATTTCGAACTGTCGTTCTGGCCTTGGAAACTAAGCGTTGAACTTCCAACTAAGAAAATTCGCGTATGTTGCGCAAAAGAAACAGCTCAGTTTGATTTCAGAAATTTCATCGTCGTAAGTTAACTAAACACGACGCTACAAGTAACATTTGCAAATTTGATCTTCATGAAAAGCTAATTAAAATGAGAGGGGACTATGTATTATTGTTATATTCCTAGACTTTCACTCAACTAAACAGGAAATGCCATTGGTTGATTCTTGGTCACGTGGCCTTGACTAAAATCAAACGTATCCTGATTGTGATACATTAAGCAATGTACCCAGCTCGAGATACATTATAGCACGTGATCAAAGCATGGTGGAAAGTGGCGTGACGCAAGGCGGGAAAAACACTGCCAGTTTTCTTTTTCGTGAATGAACACAACAACACAACCAGGAAGCCTCAAGCTAAAAACGATTTTCAAGGTTATCCCAGAAGAGAAACAGCCGCTAGTGCAGGAAAAAGATGCAGATAATATAAGGAAAGTACTTTGTAAATCATTCATTCAGTGGTTTTGAGAATTAAATTTGTGTTCCTGTAAGTGCCGAGTCGACTGTTTTGGTTCGCTCCGGTCATTCTTTTGTTGCTGTTGAAGTGAAAGTCTAGAAATATAACAAAACACTTAATGTCAGGTCCCTTGGGAAACCAGTTAGTTTTGTTTTCCCTCGAGTCCCGATGTTTCCCTCGACTTCGTCTCAGGAAACATCAGGACTCGAGGGAAAACAAAACTAACTGTTTCCCTCGGGATCTGACATTAAGTGTATAATATGCAAGGGGGACAAGTGACTTATCCCCCTTGCGTACAGTTGAACCTCTCCACAACTGTCACCTTTGGGACAGAAGACAGGGGCCGTTGTAGAGAAGCACTTTAAAGAAGTCAGTCAATGTATGGACTGTCCGCCAAAAAAAGTGGCCCTTGTGCAGAGGTCGCCGTTAGTGGAGGTTCGACTGCATTAATATATAGATTTATCCAGGGCTAAAAGCGAAGCTCCCGTTAATAAATTCATAATTTAAATCAAACAATAAACTTGTAATCCACAGATAGGGCACAGTCATGTGACTTTTGAGGCAAATTTAGGCTAAGTGATTTTACATCGCGTTAATAGTCTTATTTGTACACCCAAAAATAGCAATCATGTTCGATCACAGTAGATTAGGCCTGGAAAACAAATAGACCTATTCGAGTATTGTATTTGCATTAGCTGTTGCATCATAATGTCGCATTCACCAGTCTCTCCAACAATGTTCCGTTAGAGAGACTATGGATAATTGGACAACCCCGAAATATAATTTTAAGAACCACACGAGCCACGATAGTCCTTTGTGGCAGCCAATTGACACGTTGCATTCATCTGTCTAAAAGGGAGGCCAAAATAAAAAATCAGGCCGGACTTTTTGTGTTCGACAAGTTTAGTTTACAAGTAAATCTGGTGGCGTGTAAACCAGCCTTTTAAACATACTTTTTCTCAACACGTCTCCGGTAAACAGTACTATGAGGCCCTTTTTATCATACAGACCTTGGACAGAATTTGTTCTTTTTTTTGCCCTATCATTCTGCAGTTTTTCACAATTTTGTAAGACAATTTGCACTCATTCAATATCCACGACGTCAAAGCAAGCGCTTCCTTTGCAAAACAAATTATAGCATTGAATTATCAAACGTTTTCATGAAAAGAATTCCATAATGCGGGACTTTTCCGTTAGAAAAATCTGGTCCTATGTGATATGCAGGGTAATAATTATGGGCTTTTAGCATGAAAACGATAAGAAAATTCCCAAAATCACCTTTTCGGCCAGCCGGACGGGTCCTCACTTTTGACAGGCAAATTTGCAGTGCGATTAATAGAGTTACCATTTACGCTTCAACACGATAGGGAAATTGCTATGTTTAGGTTTTATTTCCCTTTATTTATTAAACTGTGTATGTGGTTTTGTTATGTGTAATCTTTAAAAGCGAGTGATATTTACGCGCGGCGTTTTGAGTATTCCTGTATGCGATGTTTATGTTCGACTGCAAACAACCGGTGCAGCGATAAAAATTGCGGGAGGGACTACTAACAATCAATAAAATAAATATAATTCGGTGAAACATGTACAGAGACAATAATTTTCATTCACTAAGAGAAGTATTGAGAGTAAAGTGTCTCTGAAAATCATGAGTCAGGTAAGCATAAACTTGTTTATGTTTTAAGCCGGCTTCCCGGTGTTTGCTCTTTTTCAAGATGAACTCGAGGCAAGAAAATCGCTCAGAGCTTTCTGTTTATAGCCAAAATCATAACTAAATAATCTTTGGAACCTTTTCTTTGAATTTGCGGTCAAAAAATGTCTAAAGGCTTTTTAAACCTGATACTATTGTTGGTTAGATTATCGCTCGTGTATAAACTTAAGCCGCATAAACCATACGCTCGACTTCAGGAAACCGAAAAAAAAAACACATCAAAGACAATAATTGCTCAGGCTTACCAGTCGAGATGCTGCTTCTGAAGGTCATCAAGTGTTCCAGAATCGCTGGAGACTTTTCAACCCTGTTACGCCTCAAGCAAGGACAAGTGAGGAAGCTCATTCTTGAAAACGATGCCATCCGAAATCGGATTTCCAATGACTTTCACAACCGGTGCATTTGTCAACATAAAGCGCAATAAACAAACCAGCCATGAATTACAGAACAATCTTGCTAGCAGCTGTATTTCATTTTGTACACCAAGAAGAGAACGACAGTTTAAAACATCACAAGATGACACAAAACTCTGTCAGCTCCAGCTATCAGTAAGCAAGTTTCCAGACGCTGCATAAATTTTCCGCATGAACTCACCTGTCAAATTTTGACCAATCAGAACATAAAAGTTGGACGTAGAGCGTGATCAACGCGTGACAGTGAGAAAAGTCAAGAGCGATTGCCTAACCTGCATGTAAAAGCGGGTTGAATTTTCGCGTCCGAAGCCAGTTCGAAAACAAAATTTTAAAACGGACTCATAAACACGACTTATTTCATATGCATTTTAAAAAAATTGAACTAGAGCCTGCGATCATGTGAAAAGTAACAACTTGTCAGCGGATACCTTCAAAAAAATACTCAAACTCAGTGGGTCGATACCTGAGTCCGCAATACGGTCAGGCGATACTGGTCGGCAGAAACACTATTTTGACAGCGGTCAATTAATCAAAACATGGATGTACAATATCAGGTTGTAGGCTCTCAAATTAGCTAGAAAGTGTGAGGTTAAACATTGGTATGACTGTGGCGCGGACGGTCGGGTGGTCGGTGTAAGGTATCGTGATTGCCGAATTTTGTAGGATGGATAGATTTTCTAACCTCTGGGACTTCGAATTGAGCACGTGATCAAATAAAATATCAGCGCAAAACTTTAAACACTACGTGAACTCAATGGATAGAAAAATGAGCCCGCGATACACTCAGGTGATGATGGTCAGCGTATACTCTAGTTTGACAGCTGTCAATTAACCTTAATTAGATTGGCGAATATTCGAATTAACAGACTACGAGTGTGAGTAAGGCATATCCGTCCGGCTTGTAGTAGAAAATGCCAGATCGTGTACCTCAGCGAACCTGAGCCCACGTTATTAGTTTTCTGATACTGGTCTGCACATGTCCTGTTTTGACAGCTGTCAATTGACCTTAATTTGGCTTCCCAATATAACTTTAAACGACTGTCAGCCAACTGACAGCCTTGCCCGGCGTAGTTTCGTTTTTATGTTGAATTGGCAAGTGTGACATATTATAACAGCTTATATGTAGGGGCAAAACGACTGGTCTTTCATCTGAGCCCGCGACATAGTCATGTGATAATTGTCAGCGGATGTCTGATTTTGACAGCTGTCAATCTAATCGTACTCATACGGATGGCTTACATAACTGAAAGGCTAGTCAAGTTGTGCAAGATCTATTGTGACATTTGACATCGGCTTAAATGAAGTGTGTGTACGGGTGGGCGTACGCTACGTCATAACCAAATTTTCTGGGATGGATAGTTTACCAAATTTTCTTACCCATGGTGCTCCGCTGCGCGCGCGCTTCGCGCGCGCGGGAGCTCCGCTATTACATAACCCCCTCGCATTTTAATTAGCTGATTATTGGCCCCGTTCTTCCCTTATAACACAATCAAAGCCGCAACCAGCTTTTCAGACAGTTGATTTGGGGGGTTATGTATTCTAGTATATTCCCCAGAAAAGAACAAAAGAGTCCCGCTGAACTGTAAAACTTGAGACTGTATCGTCCTTCACAAAACGTGAAATTAGGCACTTTCACGTCGTAGTCGTGCAGTGACGGCAAAGAAATGTACCATCAAGCGTGTGCACGTGCAAAGTTGTTGTTTTGCCACCGCTAAACCCATTGCTTTTTTGCCGTCCTCGTTGCCATCGCCGTCATCGTTGCTTAAGCTCCCTAATGTTGATGCTAGAACTAAAAGGGGTGAAAAAATAGGAATCTTCAGCTGTGAAATAATGGAAGCGTTTTTATCCGTCACCATTTCTCTACTTTTAGACGATAATAGTTTTAGACACTAGTTTTTTTCTTTTATATCAACACCACTTTCCCCATGTGCTTAATAAAAGGAAGAATTAAAGGCGCTCGCAGTCCAAAAGTCAGAACTGGACGGCCGGTCATTTGGGAAATGAAATGGGCTTTTTTACAAGAGTTTTCAGACAAACGCTGTAAAGCGCTGTAAGCTATTAAGGGCAAACAAGATTGCATGGACTTTGCCTGCTGGTACCTAGTTACCTTCAACGCCCTGTGGTTTTCAAAATAACAAACTGCTATTCAACGTTTTCCCCTTATTCGACAACAGGAGTGACATACGCAAGAACAATGTCTTTTTTCGACAGCTACGTCTAATCCTGAATCAATAATTACATCCACTACCGGAAAAAGAGGAAATATGAAGTCATGGGACAATAGATTGGAAAGTGCCAGCATAGGTTTTCTAGGCACAGTCACTGTATCTCAAACTTTTACCAAAAAAAATGTTCATAAAAGAACAGTCGTCTAAGAATGACACCCAGTTTTCTGAATCAGTGTAATATATAGCAAATATTCGTGGAAATTTAAAAGAGGCACCAGCCATAGTTACGAAAATGATTTGCATTCACAAATGGCACGGCACACCATCTACTTGATTGAGATTTCGCAACTCTAAACTTCTTGCCATTTTCTTAACTTCAACTTTTGTTTTCTTTATATGGCACGCTGCAATATTAATCCGTTTTTTTAAGCGAATAATTTTACGGCAGCTGGATATTAATATATAAAACACCCCCGGGTCTTAGGTCCTTACGTACTAGTAAACCATCATGAGGTGAAATTAAACATATATTCAGTATTAATCCTTTTGAGAAGATACTAGGACGACTATCACAAGATTACACAAAAAACCTTCAGGATCGAACAATCATCTAGTACGTAATACACCCATCTTGAATGCGAAATAAAGTAAAGACTAGAAGAAAACGTCTGAACACTGAATAAGCTTCCCTTCTAAGCCCCTCTGCACCTCAAAATTTTACGATACTGTATTCATAAAAAAAAAAAAAACAGTTATCGTAGTAATTAAGACACCTAGTTTTCAGCTGAATGAAAGAATAGTAAAAAAAATATTCGTAGAAAAAGAGGCACCAGCCATAGTGAATGAAATGATTTTCATTAACAAATGACAGAGAACACGACTCACTCGATTGAGCTTTTCAGCAAGTCTAAACTTCTTGGGTCGATCCTTACGCACCAGGTCAACTCATAGGGTGAAATAAAAGAAACCTTCAGATTCGTAGACGATAATTTCTACGAGGACGAGATCTGACTTAAAATATTTTCCCGTTTTGTGAAAAAAAAAAAAAAATACAGACACCCCGGAAAGCTTCATTGTACTTTTTTTTTTTTCACCAGAAAAGTTAGCAATGTTATCTTTTTTTGAAGGAGGTTAAGCGCTTTTCCGAACCGCGCAAAATGCTAAAACTTCTAACGTTTGATAACTAATGTTTCCGCCACCACGACATTCTCGATAAATCTTGTAGTAGAAGAGGACGACTTCTTTCACGTTTTCCCGCCAAAATGCCCTGACTTATGCGTGAGGGCTACTTCCTATAGAGAAAATCTTGTTCTCGTAGCTGGTCGTACTCGTCTTAGAATTTAATGGTCTCTAATACTATCAGTACGAAACAAAAGAAAATACGATGACTAGACAATAGCGTATATAGACTACCACACGCAAGGTTACACAGAAAAACTTGAATTCATCATTGAAGAAACACCCAGTTTGAATGCGAAATAAAGTAAAGACAGTTGTTAGAGACCTTTAGAATTCGAGGACGAGAACGATCACGAGTACGAGATTTGATTTAAAGTTTTTTCGAGTATTGTCAAAAAATAGACACACCGGAATTCTTCATTGTACTTTTTGTTCACCAGAAAAGTTATATAGCACTGTTATCGTTATTGAAGGAGGTTGAGCTCTCTCCAAATTGTAAAATTCTAAAACTTCTAACACTTGATTACTTAGTCCAGCCACTATGACACTCTCGCTAAAACTCGTAGTACAATGACGACGGTTACCACGTTTTCCCGCCAAAATGACGCTGCCTCACGCGCGAGCACTACTTACTATTCAGAAAATCTCGTACTCGTAGTCGTTCTCGTCTTAGGATCTAAAGGTCTCTTAATTATTCAACTGCGGTCAATTAAGGTCATTATAGGTACCAGTGAGGTTCAACTGCGAGCAAGCTCTCCTGTGGAGAGCTTGCTCGCAGGCTACAGTGAGGTTAGAAAACCACCCACGTTGATTCTGTCAGTTAAGGGAAAGTTCATTTAATATGACAAGGGGGGATGAAGATATTGAGGGGGGCTCCGAAAATTTTTAGACACCCGAAGGGGGGGCTCTGAAAAAATTGTTGCGCTAGGAGGGGGGCTCCGAAAATTTGTATACTTCAAAACCAACACATGACATCATCATACAGATCGGATGGTTTTCAACTCAACAATTTAATGACCTGTGCAACTCAGCTATATCACGTGGTTTACAGAAATAACAAATGTAGTCTCAGTAATTATTACACTCTTGTTCATCCCAAAAATGCTTTAGAAAATTGTATCACAACTGTATCTCAAGTTTGTCATAGTATAAACCATTGAAGACAATAACGGTAAATATATTTAATACAGTCTAGCGATCTTTTTTCAGGGGAGCAAAGGAATTGAAAGGAGGGGGGGGCTCTGAAATTTTTTCGACTACCAAGGAGGGGCTCCTAAAAAATTGAACCGCTAGCGAGGGGGGGTGCTAAAATTTCAAGCTTCGAGTTTCAATATCTTCATCCCCCCCCCTTGTCATATTAAATGAACTTTCCCTAAGTGACTATAAAAAGGACTATGTCATTGCTAAGCTCTATTCCATCAAGAGGTAAAGACAGGAAAACGTCTGAACATTAGGTAAGCTTCCTTTCTTTCACTTTAACGTGACTAATTTTACTTGGCACTTTTCGAGAAGTCAAAGTTTGTTTTTTTTTTTAATGTCGAATTTTTTACCATAATTGTTATTATAACTATGACAAACTATATTTCTTGTACAGCTTCTGAAGCTTATCCTAAACTAATATAATCTTAAATGATTAATTACAAGCTAGCAGGAGCGACAGTGGTTATCTAGCTTCCTTCCGAAGAAAAGACCTTATCCTTTTTAGTAGCAGTTCTTTTCTGGCTGTGATGGAAAGCCATGTAACTTGAGAGACGTGTGCTTAAATTTATTTCACCAGGGCCCAGGTGTTGGAAGGCCGGTTATCGCCAGCCCGGGGGTAAAATTTTAGATCCGATTTCTTTTTCTTTTGTTCAAAAGCACTTTCTTTGGCACTATTTTTTCACTATTTTTGGGGGTACAATCATGCATGTAGACAGAAGTAATTGCAAAACTGAAATTGCTCTTTAGGCTTTCATATCTGAATTCAAATTTTGCATTAACAGGCTTGGTTATCTTAATTAACCCAGCATTGAACAAACCCAGCGGCCCCGCGGGTTGTGATCCAAGATTGTGAGGCATCAGTATCAAACCAAGTAAATGGTTAATGGTTAATTGGTTAATTGATTAACAGCAAATGGGTTGATAAAGAAAATTTGTCAATTGTAAAGAAAAACTCAAGAAAAAATTAATAACTGCAGGATTGAATTTGCCAGTTTACTCCTCCTCCTTCTCCTTCTCGCAACACAGTTTGTAACCACTAACGACTAAACATAACCAATTCATAACGCACCACGTTTTCATTCTCAAAGATTTGACTCAAAGATTTGATTTTGACTCCCACGGAGACTTCCGGATTTAATGATGTATCCTGTAGTTTTTAAATTTTTAGTCGGTGCCCCTTACGAGATATAGGGACTTTCCAAAAAAATTGGTTTTATGAACAAAACAACAGCTCTACACGTGCATCGCGCTTTTTAGTACATTTCTTTAGGGAACTTAAGAACCATGACGAAGTTTATGACGACGACGTCTGTTGACTGGGAAAACACTGAAACGAAAACGTCAGTTTCGGCGGGAAAAAGGAAACTTAAGATGCGGTCGGTCAGCAGGTCGACGACGACGATGACGAAATGCAAACACAAATTTAAAACTGTGATGTTCGTTCGCAACAAAGTTTTTCGCAATGGCGTCTTTTACAACAATGCAAGATCTTATTTTTTAAGCCGTACGTCTAATTTCATTGACGATGAAGAATTTTTTGTGTTGTCTCACCTTTTCCTTACCTTTTCGAGTGGAAAAACGCCTGCCTTCCGTACGAAGATTATACCGCTTTCAACCTGAACGAGATGACCGAATCCGAGTGTCTGTCAGAGATAAGATTTGGAAAAAGAGACATTCTGATGTGATAGCTGCTTCAGTATAAAGTTTATTTTCTCTATATTAAAGATATATGATTTACCTTACCTAACACGTACAAATAAATTTATCACTAACGAGTTCGCTCGCTCGGCTTCCACAGCTATTGTCATTGTTCGAAGTAAAAATAATTCATTAGTCGAATTTTCAATTAATATCTCTTGTTAGGAGAAAAAAGGAACGATACCTGGATTTACGAGGATAAGAAAATGCAAAAGGACTTCAAAAAATCGCCTAAAACAGTGGATTTATACCTGCCAAAGCTTGTAGATTGTAGGACGACGTGATTCTACTTTGTTTGGCGTCGTCTACGACACCACGATGACGAAATTTACTGGTCGCGCTTGCGCAGTACACTGTAACTCACTTCCGGTCGTCGTGGTTGTGGTTCTTAAGGTGTCTCCTAAAGTAAATTGGCCGTGCGCAGCCTGAGCACTAGTATGGCGCGAGTTTTAAAATCCGCATGACGTCCAAGCAAAAAATAAAGCAAACATGGCCTCTCAGTTTCGAAATATTCCCCCCAAAAGATTTATTAACTTTCTATTGAAGCTCATTGTGCAAAAAGTTTGATTAATGTAAGTCACACATTTACGAGAGGAGACAATGTTACACTGGTTACGAGTCACTATCGATCTCCATAAGAGTAAATTGTATGTAAAAACAAAGCAGAAATTTTCCAAAGACATCAATTCTTTCGCTTCAAAAGTAGACAAACGTTACTAAGTAGTCGAAGTAAATGGTGAGTGGAAACTGTACTTAGAAAACAAAGAAGTAAGTACACCAACCCAGAAGGAAGCAATGTTGCTGTTTCTGGCTTTTGGTTCACGGTCAGTGGAAAGATCTGAAAGATCGAGCCAATTCCCGAACAAACACTGACACTGACGCCGAAGATTGTCTTCACTGGCAGAGCTCCTCGGTGTCTTTATTTCTCTAACACTTGATTTAATCTAAGTAATTCTAGAAGTGGCTTTAAGACAAGATTACAGGGAGTGTAAATTTGTATTTGTTTTGCCGACTCTATCACATTGTTTAAAAAACTTATCAGAAAAAAGGTTTCCCACTTACCTTGCATCCTAATCGAAGGAACCTTTCCATCGACGAACCAACATCCTTGTGTTTTTTCTTGTTTCAAACGTCCTTCAACGCACATGCAAGATGCACTAGAAAATGATTTTGCACAACGAGAAATAATTTTTGCTCACAGATTGACCATTGACCAAAGCAATAGTTGTCCGTCAAGACCTACGGTCTTGTACGTGTAGCTGAGGACATGATGTACGATTTATAGATCGGCGCCATCTTTTATAGCAGACTTTTAAAGAAAGACTTTTCCGTCGAAATTATCCCTAAAGAAGAACAAGGTTGAAAAAGTATCCGGAAGTGGGCTGACATTTGAGGATCTGCAAACAGAGTACAGCAGATTAGGAAATGAAGGGCTTATTGCGATCCTTGCACAACCACCGTCTTCATCTCCGACGGTCGCCATCCCATCCTCACGAGTTACCACCACGGTTCGAATTTTAGCTACAATAGTCAAGTACTTCGAAGAAAACATCCTGTGTTAGGTATAAAATTGAATCCGCTATCTCTCCTTTTTCAACTGTCGAGATATCACCGTAATAATACTAATAAACGGCTTAAAAACAATGGCTTTCGTACTCTTCAAAGAAACCTCATGTTTTCAATAGCTTTGTGTATTATGCGCATGCGGGCGTGATGTCTCGCGCGCGTATTTTGCTCATACGACCCCGGACCACGCGTGTTTTTCGGATTTTTGTGACGTCAACGTATTTAATTAACCGTGAATTTCTCGCATTTCCTTCGGTCATTTTTTCTAAAAATCGCCTCATTTCTTAACAGTTGCAGTCCCTTTGTACTGTCCTTTTTTTTTCTAAGTTATGATTTGTCTACTGAGTTCCGTTTGTTAAAGGTTTTCGTATTCTTTGATTAGCGTGGTACACGCAGAGAACATAGAAAGCCGACCATGAGTTAAGCGGTCGCTTACAAGAGCTTGAAAGAATGGAAAATTTTAAATCTTGCACCCCCAAAAAGGTTGCGGTCGCTTACAGGAGGCGGAAGTTAATACGAGAGGTTTCAACTACAGTGAAACCTCTATTAAGCGGATGCCCTCTATTAAGCAGACACTAATTAAGCCAGGTCCCGAAATTAACGTCTTATATTTCCCTTTATAACGAGCCCCTATTTACCCTGGTCCCAGAGGTTTTTCTTGATTTTTCTTCGCGAAAGAGATCAAGAGCAAACCTCGAAGCGGCGACAACGAGTCGCGAAAGCGACGAGGAGAGACAGAAAAACCTCTGGTTACCTTGGCCTCGAATCTCACTTTCATGCAGACGACAGCTGTCAAACGCGTCAAATTGCTAATAAAAAGAGTGACCAATGGCAACTTACCAAACACGTGCTTATCAGCCGCTATTTTTTTAAGTGGGGGTAGACCTGGGGAAATTATGTTATGAACAAACCATCTTCACTTGGGTGGTAAAGAGTGATTTGTTAATCGGGGTCAAGCTAAAGCATGTGTTAACAATGGGCGGCAAGAGTCCAGGAATAAGAAGACCACTTTATAAAGAAACCGACATTGTTCCAAACGAATGCTGCAGGATTTGCAGAATTTATTTGGGTATAATAACAAGGATTTTTCACAAACATTGTCATCTGTTCTGTCGGCAGTGTGCCAGCGGGAAGTTGTAAAGTTTGCAAGAGTCTATCAATCGCGCTTATTACATTGTTTACTTCTGCGGGGCGCGCCGTTCGCGTCGATTCGCGGGCATTCCCCTGAAAATAGTAATATTAATATGTATTCTGGCAATCTGGCTCGCATTTTGGTTTGGTTGCTCCATTTCCTTTTTTTGTGGAACAGCGACGCTAGGAAGAGTCATGCAGCACAACAAACCCTTAAGGTTCGGAATGTACTTTCAGAGGTTTTTGTTGGCCCAATAGACCTATTCGGCTAACTCAATGTACCCAATTCAAACCCTTTGGGAATAAAACGTTTTGTTTCAGGAATTTCCATATCATTTAAATGTGAATGCCACATTATAATGCAAGTGCAATACACAAAGAATCTTATCCCCGGGAGATTTGAATTGGGTACAACATTGAGTTAGCCGAATAGGTCTATGCCAAAAATAAAGTTGGTTAGATCTTTTTTGGGCGTCGCAGGAAAATCAAGCTGCACCGAAAATGATTACGCACTTGTACAAAGTTGTATGTTTTTTTTCCTACAAGGAAACTTTCATTCCGTATTCGGAGATTTTTTATTTTGCTGCCCTAAACAAGTTAGTTTATTTAATGGAATGACAGTATTGTAACAGAAAATATACTTTCCATGTCCGGTTGATAAAATGGTGAACACATCCTTTCGACTCAACGCAGCGAACAAAGCTTTCTTTTGTTGCTCAGTGAGACTCGGGAAAGCGCTCATTAAGTACCGAGGTCAAAATTTCTTCGAATATTCTTTCAGCAACAACATCCATGGCGTGCCTCTACGTGCCTTGGTCCCGTGCAAATGTTATTGCGAGTGCAGCATACAAACAATTTTCTTCCCTAGTAGAGAGAGGCAAAATGAGGTGTGAAAATCCTCAGCGTCCCCTCGGTAGTTACAATTAAACGAGCCAATCAAATTGGTTTGCGCGTTTGAAAAAATATCAACCAATCAACGCCCGAGGGTCAGATCCTGACCCTGTCGTCTGCATGGAAGTGAGATTCGAGGTCAAGGTAACCAGAGGTTTTTCTCTCTCTCCTCGTCGCTTACGCGACTCGTTGTCGCCGCTTCGCGGCTTGCTGTTGATCTCTTTCGCGAAAAAAAATCAAGAAAAACCTCTGGGACCAGGGTAGCCCCTATTCAGCGGACGCGGACACTATAATAAGTTGTATTTAGCTAATTTCTATTGTTAAAAACCTCTATTAAGCGGACACCGGACAGAATTGACAATAGTAGTACTGGATTACGTCCTTGAAATAGGGACTGAAGTCTGTTAATGTTTTTGTGTTTACAAAACAAATTGAAGTTGGTAATGAAAGGTAATGAACTTGAGCTCCTGATAGCTTCTTGAACGACATGCAACTTTATCACAGTACAGAGTAACCGTTGAATGTTGATCGTTAACAAACATTGCGCAATTTTTACAACCTCTGTTAAGCGGACACTTGGGAAAGTCCTGAGGGTGTCCGCTTAATGGAGGTTTTTACTTTTTTTTTATTTGCCCGGGCCCGGGCCCGAAGGGCTGGACTTGTCCCGGGGGTTCACCCAGGGGAGGATGGTAACAAGTATAATTGAACCATGCATTATGGAACAAAGATCTGAAACCAGATTGAGATACCAATCTGAACGATCTACGTTCAGAGGTAGATCGTTCGGATTGCAATCTTAGATTGGTTTGGTCCTTAATGGAACAACAAATCGAATTTTCGATCGCAAAATCCGGATTTAGATTGGCTAAAAGGAATGCAACCCAAATGAAACGAGAATATAATACGATATTGGACGATGCAGACTCTGCGAATCGTAATAACTTTGTCCCATCTCAGACCTTTACATAGTGCTCTCCTTGAAACATTTCTCAAGGTGACCAATATCTAAAAGTAAACTGCTAAACGGCACCGAAACCAACTTTAGGCGCTCACTGATTTCAAATAACTGTCACCTTTACTAAAAAGAGAATTATGGGTAGGGACAAAAAAAAATAAAAGGGAGGGAGGAGGGGGGTAAGATAGTAATTCTGTCTACATCCACTTATACACAAACCCCTAATCACAAAACAAGGAAAAAAACCGTAGTCGTAGTGGCGGAAACAACTTATTAACTGCTAGAACTTTTATCATTTTGGGATCGTTTTTCATTTATAAACATTTACCCTGCAACAGAGAATGTTGTTTGGATGCCACTGTTGAATATGGTAAAATTTGCTGTGCTACGAATAATACCGTATTTATTCGATTAGGCGCCCTCGGCGCTTATTACATTTTTGGGCCTCAAGAGTGAGTGAACACTTATCGAGGTGAGCGCTTGTTCGAGGTTGGGCGCTGGGCGATAAATCTTCATCATTTTCGACAAGTAGTAAGTGAAATTTTCAAATAAAGATGAAGATGTGTCAGAGAAGAATTATAACTGTTCATTGAGAACACGCCTCTTCGGGGAAGTCTCTTACTAGTACCTAAACAAAATTTATCTTATTATTTGTCAGTAAGGTCAATAAGCAACTCTCTGGTATTGAAATTTCAATAGACAATGAAGATGTAATGACAAAGGAATACTTATTTGGAACTATTAAGTGATTGTTTTTTGACTCCTCTTCAGTCGAATATTGTCGACTATCCAGCTCGATCCTGACACCTTTTGACACCTTTGACGATTTTCAAGTTGTGATAAAGATGGCTCTGACAGTCATCGAACTGACTGTCAGCATCATTAAGACTTTTCTTGGCTATGTTTTGAGAACATAACTTTACTAGCCTGATGAATTTCTTCAAGATAGGAGCAGCTCCGCTACTAAAGTACGATGGCCCAAAAACAAAAGTCTTTATAATATTATACTGGCACATTCTCCAGAAAATTGTCTTGGAAGACGTTGCTATAAACACGTATCAAGCGTTTATTTTTGTTGGCAGATATAGGTACATTGATAAAGATGGCAAAGACGAAATCATCGACCTTTCATTGCTGTGTTGCTTTGGTGTTATTCACGCTGTCTTTGGTTTCGCTTGCGATGGTGATCGAGGTTAAGGATGAACAATCTCCCAGTGCTGGTAAGCGAAGAGGTTATGTATCTTTAAGCGGGTGTAACCATTGTTGGTTCGCGTTTGTGTTGTGGTGTGGATATTATTCAGTGTCTTTTCAATCTTTTGTTTGACGTTATTTGGTGATTGTCGCCCGTCCGCAACACCATGCTTTAACCGGGTTTAAGTCCCAAGAGAGACCAATGTCAGTTTTCTCCCAACAATATCGATACGTGATAAAAAGAAAATTTAGAAGAATTACTAATTTTATCACATATGGAAAAATGCTTTGATCTTTGGAAAAATTCTCTCAACTAATTCTTTAAGGAAAGGTATGGATATCAGTATAGAGAATTTGTATTAAAGGCATAAACCGCTGGCGGGTAACATCACATGAGTCACTAAACGGACGACACTTCTCTGTGCAAACAAAGAGGAAACTGGGCGGAGCTTTCTTGGGGATACTTGCGCACCTTAATTTAAATAAATCCTTATACTGTAAATGTGGAAAAATTTATTGTCAAACCGGAGGTATTTTGAATCTCCTATCCGGATTATTTGGACCAAAACTGATTTCCCTTTTACATCACATGCAGTCAATCCTCATTTTTTTTTCAAATTCCGGTGTTTCAATCTTTCTTTATTTTTCAGTATTAAAGAGGTTCAAAAATCGGAATTTTACAGCAGTTTTTGTTTTCTTTATTATATAAATAGCAGGTGCGGAGGCCGCAGAATGGTTAGAATCCGCCGAAGAAGAAGCTAACAAAAGAGCAATTTTCCGTGGAAAACACGGCCGTAATAAGGGGGGAAAAGGTAATGGTGGAAAAGGTAATGGTAATGGTGGAAAAAAGGGAACTGGTTCCGAATGCAAACCAGGCAGGTCGAATCCAGGAGATAGAGGCGAAATATATATGGTTACAATGAGTGGTTCTTCCCACCGCTTCAACGCACCAACGTTCGTGAAAGTGGGTTTTACAAACAACTGCAGGCAACGATTTGCAAACCTTAAGGCTGGAAATCCTTTTAAACTGAATTGTCATGTAAGCTATAACGTTTGTGTGAAGGACGAAGCAGAACATGCGGCCCACGGCGCAATATCCAACTCTAGCATTGACATGGGAGGAGGAACAGAATGGTTCTATTACGGAACTAGTGCTAATCTAGAATTAATGCGACAAGCGGTTAGAGCCGCAATAAATCCCTGGATAGAGCGGGCTGGGGGTAGCAGCGACTTTGTTGAATCGTCCATTAATCCGTGTCTTGCTCCTAATCAAGCAGGCGCAATCATGCCCACAAATTACGGGAATTTCAACCCGCGGTTTGCTAGCGTTTACAACACAAAGTGGCGACAAACACTCCAAGGAAATGTATTGCAAATTAAGTATAATTGTAAATAACAAGTTTCTGAAGTTACCTGCGACAATTGCCAAAATATTCCTCCTTAAGAAAAACGATTAACGTCTCTCTGTTTTTTATTCGATTTTCATGCATTTTGAATGAGCATGCATGGTCTTCTGTGTTTCTCAGGCTCAACAATCCTTGTAACATCTTTTTCGGAAAATGCTCCAATCCTTAAACAAGTCAGTTTTGGTCGTCTTTATCCAGCGGCCACACTCGCCTTCGTGTCAAATTTGCCAAAATTGTACCTCTTCCGTAATCCTCTGCATTAGAACAAGAAAATTCTTACTTCAAGAAAATCAGTGAACCTAACTCCTTTGTTTCCTACTTTTTTTCAATCTGCAATTGAATGCTCCCAAAATGACTCATTTGTATCTAGGGACAATTCATCTCGATTGCAGTTTTTCTTATAACACTTATCAAGGGCCATAATGGGACATTATGGCTCTTGGCCATGGGCTTATCAATTCTGATCAGCGGCTTTTGTTTTCTTTAGGACGCGTGCAGGTTGAAATGTGCTTAATAATCATGTTAATCTGGGGATGAGCTCCACTCCCTGATTTACATATTAATGAAAAACTACCAGTTTTTAAAGAGACCCGAGGGTATCTCGACTAAATTACATGAAATTAAGACATCCACTGTTTAGCAATGTCATTTACTATTAAGACACTGTTCACATTATAAAAGTGTAATAAACAAGTGTTTTAATCAGTCTATTTTGCTACGTCTCGTCAACAGTTAAAATATAGTACAACATTTGAAATAGTCAAAAAAAGTAAAAATTAATAGTCTGTTCACTTTACTTTAACAAATTCATTACAGACATGAATAACTTCATTTTTATTCGCCAAAATAAAAAAAAGATAAATATATTCGGCCACCATTCAACTCGAGTTCAAAGAACAGTTGTTAACTATTCAGCCCGGCCTCAGAGCGACGCCAAACTCGCGGAAGTTAGGAGAAAATGGCTTCCCGGTGTGCTACCGTAACAAAAGAAGAAATGTCACAAATAAGCGAAGAAGCTGTTCCCGAAAAACACGAAGACTACTGACGGGGTCTTATTAGACGTGACTGACACCGTCCCACCGTTGAGGTACTCGGGCGTTTCAAGGTTAACTGTAGCCTGCGAGCAGGTTCGCTTGTGCGAGGGTCTCAATGAGGTGGTAGCTTTGACGGTTGACTTTTTTCCAGTTTTGGTGGTTGACGGTTGTTAAGTGGAAATTTGAACCAACAGTTACCATTTATGCCGTTGTGTTTTGGAGGTCGTCTTGGCCTTACACTTCTAGAATTTCGAAATATTTTCAGATACCAGCAAGTTCTAAGGTCTTGTGATGTCTTGAGAGTGTGTTTTCGGAAACACAGGAACTGATTTTTCCAGTTTGAAGGTTCTTCATGACGCAGAAGTCCGTGAAGATTAGCTGTATTAGAGAGATTTGAAATACCTTGAAACTTTTTAACGGTCTGCATTTTTGACCGATTGAGGGTCAAAAATCACTTTTTTTGACGGTTGACGGTTTAATTTCAGGCCCTTTGACGGCTGACGGTTAAGCCCATCGAGACCCTCTTCAACAAGCCGCCCGTTTTCCCGCGAGGAGAATGGGCCTACGGAGGGGGATCACACAAAACAAGTTTCGTCTCGTTTCAAACAAGGCGTTGCGGCTAACAAAGAAGTTCTTTTTACTGGGCTGCCTGTGCGGCCCCGTCATAAAATGGGCTTTCGGTCGTCTGCGGCGAAAAACGGCCTCCCGGGGGAGGGAAGACACGAGGGTCTGATACCGAGAAACGATGTTCTCACAAATCGTTTCATATGATTTTCTCTTGCACGAACCCCTGCACGGATACTTTTTGTACCTTGTCTGCGCTCCCGCTGAAAAACCCACAAAGCGTTGCGAACCTGAAGAAGGCTATTTGCGTTGTTCGAAGCGATTCGATCATGGGAGTCACTCTATAATTTTTTTATTGTTCGAGTTTAAGTCAGTTAGATGATGTTGGCGCTGGGAAACTCAGAGAAATGCTCGCGTTGCATTCAAACCGACACGCCGTTCACGGTAGGTTCACACTAAAAAATGACTGTGAGCGTCAGGTTTGGCACGCCGTGGCCGCTTCGTGAACTCAAAGAGAGAATTATCGATCGATGTAGTACATGAGCAATTGAGAAGCACAATTTATGAGCTAGGTATTTCACAAGTTGACAGCACTATGGCTGAAGACTTGATTGTAAGCCTTCGTAGTCAGTGAAGCGAACAACTCAGTTGCCGATGAATGGCACTACGCACGTCCATGAGCGAGGGACGTGACAACTTTGTCATGTTAGAAGACTGGCTTTTCCTTTAAATATTTCCTTCTATTTAATGCAACACACGCCACTTTGGAGGTCTAAATTTCGGATACTGAGGATAAAGAAGACACGGACAAAAATAGGGACTCTGAGAATTTCGCACACAAGTTTAAAGCTTCACCGGGACATCCCATCCGGGAGCTTCACAGAGAGCGACTTGAGGAAAATAGTAACTAATTTACATTCGCATAAAAGCCACCTTATGCCTTTTGATGGATAAGTTATGGGTGAAAAATTTTGCCCGAGACCAGGGGTGCTATAGACTCATCCAAAGGACGGTAAATTATTGCAGAATACCTCATTAAGTTGCAGTACAGCCAAATCTCCCCGAAACTCAGAAAAACCCAGAAAACTCCCTTAGAGAGATGGGCAGCGTTGGCGTAATGCCTCTCAGATGTGACGGATACAATTGAGGGGAGTGGCCCGGCCCAACTGTGGGGCTTTCCCTCCCAGTTACGCTAAACGAAAGCTGAAGGGTGACTTGCAGCATGTGTAACCCGGTTTGAGAAATCCGAATGGGAGGAGATAAAAAGAAGGAAAGACCCTGAGAAAGAGGGAGGCTGGGAGGGAACCCCACAGCTGAGTCGAGTCAGGACACCGTCCGAAGACTGGATGAGGGGTGTGTTTAGGACCCCCTCCCTGAGCACGACTCAAGTGTGGGGTAAGGAAATATAGGAAGCAAAAGCCAAAGAAAAATATAATATACAAGGACACTCGTGCAAATTTATTCCGGCTATGCGCTAGAGTAAAGAGAACGTGGTTACTGAAACTGATATCTAGGAGTTACGCCACCTTCTGTTTCTGCTATTGTGACCTCTAAGGTCACAAGTGTAATAGGTCAGGGAGAATAAAGACAATATAAAAAGTGAGACGTCTCAAGGGAACAGCTGCGAGCGGGCACGGAGTATGCTGACAATGCAATGTGCCGAAATTATACAAAGTGTTGACAATACAAAGAGTAGGAAACGAACGGCAAAAATAAACAACTGGCCACCTAATTTTAAAATCTTTCAATACATACACGTAAAATGCCATAAAGCATCAAAGATTCTAGACCAAATGTACGATGGACGGTCGCGAAGTAAAACCAAAGATGTCTGTTCGTCATTGTACGTTTCACCGACATTAAAGGGCACCAACGAAATTAAAAACATGCCACCGAACTGCGTTGGTGAGATCTTCCTTTACGTTTCACAAACGCCAAGAAGCGTCAACGTAATGTCTATATCTTCATTGTACGTTTCACGGACGCCAAAAGGCGCCAACGTAATTGACTAAAAACATGCCACTGAGTAGAGCTGCTGGGGTCCTCCTTTACGTTTCACAAACGCTAAGAAGCGTCAACGTAATGTCTTTCTCCTCATTATACGTTTCACAGACGCCGAAGGGCGCCAACGTAATTAAATACATTCCACTGAACTGCACCGTTGAGATTCTCCTTTACGTTTCACAGACGCCATGAAGCGCAAACGTAAATATGTTCCGGCTCGTTCTCGTTCTACTGTAACAGACGCAAAAGACGCGACAATAATAAAATAAGGGTCGCCTTACCTCTGGTACGTTGCACAGACGCCTAAAAGCGTTAACGTAAAGATAAACGCCACGTATGTAACAAATTGACAAGAAAAGGGGGAAGCGAGAAATCAAAACATGATACTTAGGTTGATGGTGTTGGTACCGCATCAGCTGGGGCTGGTTAAACAGGGACGAGAGCCAAGAAAGAGTTTCAGCGGCGCTGGTCGCGTTGCGGAAGAATGAAACTTGCTTGGCCGTTGTAGAGTAGACTTGCGAGAAGACGGCGAATTTGTTTGCTAGGGCGTATAAAAGGCCTAGGGAATTTCCCTGGGGGCCGTGAAGGACCAATAGACTGCTTCCCGAGGGAGCACGCAGTAATCTAGTTGATTAGATGGTCACGCGGTGGCTTTTATACGAATGAGAATAGGAGCTATTACTGACAAGGTTTAGTGACTGAGTAGAGCATACAAGTGTAGCCCACGTCGAGGTTTCAGGGGGTTTGCTTTTGTTTGTATTTGTAACTTGCTAAGCTTTTATCATTAAATTTGTACATGATCTTGTGATCACAATTCTGTGTTTTCGCCCATTCAGCAAGCACGCTATATTGATGTCAGCATTAGCGAGTTTCAGAAACATGCCTTTGAAAGTTTTCAGCTCTCGTCACAGGTAACCCAGGCTCTGCACTGTAAAATGAAAAGAGCCAATTTGGCCCCAAAAATGGGGCCGAAACGGGTGAGTCCAGAATGGGACTGTTTTTGGGGCCAATTCAGCCCCACTGAGATGGGGCTGTTTTGGTACCAAAATTTGGGGCTAAATTGACCCTTGCATCGGGGCCAAATTAGACCATGTAAAGGGTCAATATGGAAAACTCTAGGGCCATTTTGGATTTTCCAGTGGCCAAAACAGCCCCCTCAAATTTTGGCCCTCTTAAAAACTACCCCTCCAAAAGTAGCCGATTCAGCCCCATATCGGGCCATTATGGTTTTTTTAATTTGGGTGGGGGCCTACAGATTTTCTCCCTTAATTAGGGTACTGATAAATAATGAAACCAAACTAAGGCTTATTTCAAACATTTATTCAGTTCTGAATAAGTTACTGTGATCTGTGTACATCATAACAACGCGTATTCCAACCTATTTATGTAATATTATCTTCGGTTAATCTCAACTTTTCTAGATTGAACATTTAGAATTATTGGAGGAATTAAATTGGCCAAGAGAGACACTTGTCTTCGGTACGATCAAAGTAACTACTTCTTAAACCGGTTTTCACAAAAGACAAAGTCAAAATCATAATCAGCATCATAGGAACACTTAAAACCTATAGTGAAAATCAAAAATTGGAGTTGTAAAGGGTTTCATTAATTAAAGCTCACCAGAATTGGAGTCAATTAAGGTTTCTTTTATAACTCCCCTTTTGACAAAAAAAAAATAAAAGATTGTCAGAGTTGGTCAAGTTCTCCTGCTAACAATTCTGACAATGTACATTAGATTGAAGCAA